TTTATCAATGTGAATTAAAGAAATGCTTATATGCATTGTACAAAGTTCCCCTGCTGCTCCAAAAATGTGGCGGCCCTGGGAGCAAGTTGGGCGCGCCAAGTGCGATACGCAATGTGTTAAGTATACTTGAAACTGAGAAAATGTTGCAATTTGGGGCAAAAAAATTATCGACGTGCGTGACACGTCATTCCAGCGCAAAATGTTAAGGCGTCTCGTGCGTACGAGACAAAAGGTAAGGAGTAAGATTTAAATACTCTGACGAGTAGCAGTGGCCAGCAGCGAGAGGAAAGATTGTTAGCTAAATTGCAGCCAGTCTATTACGTAAATTATTATCGATCTCAGTGTCACGGTAATGCAAAGTGGGCAGAACCAATGAATCATACCAGGGGGGGAGGTATATATCGACTATTTCGAGGGCATGACGAGTTCTTTGTCACGAACGTTCCGTAGCAACGTTGAAAGCTCGCTCATTTATTATGCAAAATTCGCAAATTTATCTTGGGTCGTGTTCCAGTTTTCTTAAGGAACGAGCCTGCATCTGCTTCATCGATCACGCGGAAGTGCTTAAATAATTCATGAACGAAAATATCTCGGCGTTATGAATGGTAACTCGGCTTTTTGACACTTGTTAATTTACTCGTTGAAATTATAACGAAAACGCGACGAGAGAACCGACAAGTTTCGCTCGAACATCGAAATCGCTGTGCGTCCCCGACAATAAACGTATCGAGCCTAAACCATCGACAAAAGTGATAATCGATGATGGCATCGGCGATACAAATTAGCGAAACGTCTTCTTTAATTCTATCATCATCAATCATGAAACAACGTGGGTCAAGGTCTCGCGTTAGAATCGTATTCAGTTATTAAACGCTCAACGAGAAGTTCTTGCCAATCAAACTGATCTCAACTTCGTTCTCGTCTCGAGACGGAAATACAATCTGCTGATGAACACGTGCTGTTCTACTGTCAAACAATCGCGTACATACCACTGTCAGCTTCGTGTTCTTCCCAAAGATACATCACGTTGAAGAAACATGAAACAGTGAGTCACTGCGAAAAGTTCCCTAAGCTATGAAAAACTTCGGTTCCAAGATGTTTAACGCGATACTACTTTGTTTGAAAGCTTTGCTTTCCCTTCGCGATCGATTTCCCAACGGTTCTTACGTCGCTTTTAATGCACGATAAGTATGCATAAATTGCAAGCACGATCGAACGCAAGGAAACAATGTATTAAGAGAACCGAGAAATGAAATGTGGAAGGTGGAAGGCGAACGAATGAATTTTACCTCGTTTCAGAGGGAACCACAGGTTCGTGACGAAATACATATGCATTTTCGACGCTATTTGCCGACTCTGTTTGCTTCCTGTTGGCTTTTTCTGGACAAATTTCGCTACTGTGATGATATTAAATTCCACGAACTTGTATTTTCCCCTCGACGATGGACAATAATTTGACGAATGGAAGAATGTGAAGAAACATGAACGATAAATTGGATAGACAGAAAATTCTCGCGCGAGAATGTACTAGATCAGAAACTAAATTTTCCGAGCGGGCACACTTTCGAATTTCCCTTGTATCAAAACTCGAACATTATCAAACAATTCGCAATAAGAGCCAATTGTTGTTCAAACAAAACAAAAAAAAAATCATGAAAGCAATATGCTGTATGTCGTTTTGATTATTCAGCAAACATTAACTCCAATGTTTAACGAATAACGTTATCTCATTAATAAACACTTGACGATAAAGTGCGGATTAATATATACTTGCAGAGTTTGCAAGTAATGCAAACAATGACGCACAACGTATCCGTAATTTCTCACACGCACCTGAACAAAATATATTCTGTTTTCGTATTAGAAACTTTCCTAACTCCTGTTGCTCTTGCACTCTGGTTTAGGTTCTCTACTTTAGTCGAGCAAATTCAAACAGGTGTTCCTAGTCGTTCAGAGACAGATGCAAAGAATAAACCATATTTTGGAATAGGAATCTCCCCCGGTTATCCCGGCGAACCTAAGAGAGCCAACAATGCGTGCAGCAAGATTAAAGGACAGGAGGCAGATAGAAGAACAATTCTCGCACTCTCGAATAGTATCATCGGTGGGATCAAACACGACGAAATGACCAACTGGCGGTACCAGTGGCAAGCAAGTAACTATCAGGTCTCGGTTTCGAGAACAAACTTCAACAAACTTCAATTCGCATTCGACGGCGACAAGTGTAATTCCTGCCAATCAGGGCCAGTTCGTCTTCGGGAGGGATTAAAGTGCCAGTTCGTCGAGAGCACGTGCCGGCAAGTCGAATTAAAAGCCAGCCTTTAATTCGCCAGGCAGCCGAGGCCCTTCGAATAATTACAGGAACGTACCACTGGTTTTCGCGTCTTGGTGCGCTGAACGTAAACACGTGCACGTTCACCGCTGGCAAGAAAGTATCTTAAGCCGCATCTACACTGTTCAGGATCGTTCGCAAACAGAAGCACCATCGAGCGCGATGTTACAGCTTGCAAACAGCTTACCGCTGAAACGCAAAGCGGTTGCAGAGGTATCCGCGGATAATTGGTCGGCTGTTGGGTAAACCGACAGAAATTTTGAAATTTCTGCCCGACGAACGATGATTGAAGCTGCCAAGCGAGGATTTTTTTGTATTTCGAAATTTTTCAACATCTTTCGACAGTCTAAAGAGATGAAAAATTGAAGAAGCAAGAATAATTCTTTGTAATACAAAGAAATATTGTAAAAGTACCACGAAACTAACAGAATTTACCAGGAAGTATTCCTAATGGATATACGTTGTTACTACTAATTATACTTACTTACCGAGATACCGACAATATCGTTAATTATGTATATCGATTGGAGTAGAACGTAACGTGTAAATATATACATACTTCGATTCTTTTCAACTTATGCAAGCTCACTGTACGTACTTTAATTATTATCACGATACTCTCGTATTCAGCAGAATTCGTCTCATTTCAGGAAACAATCTGTCTCTTTGCAGCAGTGCAACTACCACGGGTACACGTAAATATTTAAAAGACAATCACAAGTTCCGCAAACTCCTTCTCTATTCCATCACGCTACTGAATTATATAAATTCGAATAATCGATGAAATAAGTTTCCGGGGCCAAAGGCACAATCTTTCAGCTTCGTTTCGTTCAAAGCCAACGCACTTGCGACTGCAGTCAGTCGTCAATACCGATACGTCGAGTTATCTTTCCCGACTCACTGCCGATATTTATCGACGAGACAAATTCTATCGAAACGCAGCGGAGCCGTAGCGCAGAACCAACCGCAGTCGGCCGGTCATGGGAAAATAGGACTTTTCAAAGCGTCTCGCAGCGCAGAAACGATGGAGTAACGGGTTGTTACAGGAAAATTACCGCGGGTCTGATCTTCGCGGTTACAGTTACCGCGCTCGTTTCTCGCCGCTGATTCCTCTTCTTTCCTTTCCATCTCTCCCTCCGCCACCTTCGACCCTTTCTTTTGTCCGGACGCCGCCGGTTACCAGCGCCGCTTAAGGGCTTAAAGCCTTCTCTCCGCTTCTACTTTTCCTTCCTCGACTGGCTCGAGGCACGTCGAGCTTCCCGCGCAAGAAAACGTAACGACGCAGCGTTATTATACACGCACGTTATACGTGTGTACACCGCGACGTGGACGCATGAAAACGAAATACGCGGAAGCGAGTAAAAAGTGTCTGGCATGCGCCAGACCGGGAGGAATTAAGACCGCGAACAAACGATCCGGGAAACGCGTCTACTCGCTTCGGCCATTACTCCGTTTACCGGTTCGATCGGCGATCCCGTACGTCACCGGACAATGCCAACCGGTCGGTGTAATTACGTTACCAAGCACGAGATCTCCTCCTCGTTATTTCGCGAAAACGCGACGAGTTATTTCGGTCAGATCGTTTGGATTCCTCGGGATTTTACGTTTATACACGACACGATTGTACCTCTGCCAAACGACCGAGAGTTTCGGCCAGTTTAATTTTGCCAGATGTTGCCCTTCGCGTTTTTTTGTTCAACGTTCGCGGAATTTCGACGAACGCGCGTTGTTTACGAGGATTAATCCCCGAGGTGGTATTTCGTCGAACAGTCAAGAGAGAACGATGTTACTGTATCGCATTCGTGATGTAACTGTATTTCTAATGTACATCGCCATTCCGATGTTTTGGAACAACTTGAACCAAGTACAAGTTTCTGGAGAACGTGAACATTTCGTTTCGAAATATAATTAAACATAGTTTCGATTCTTGAAAATTTCGATGTCATTACGTTTGTTTGAGGAAGCCGTTGTTCTCCTGTTTGCAATCCCAAATATTTGTACAGAAGCGTGCAACGCAACGCGCAAAACAATCTCTCCGTGGGGATTTAAATTGGGAAGAATTTCTCGACGTTTCATCAAATACGAAACTCTGTCCCTCCGCCCTTTGTATCGATCCTACGCGTGCGTGTTCGATATCGATAATCCAACACGATTGGTAAATTTCTATTACATTTCCCAATCCTTTGGTCCGAGCGGCTTGTCGAACAAAAGATCTCATTTCATTAAAAATGATAGTCAAGTCCAAAGAATACTCCAAAGCGCCACTTCACAATGATGATAGCTCTTCTCGCGGAACATATGTCCCATTCATAAAATGAAAGGATACCAGCGTAAGCCGAATCGACATCTGTCGGCGATAAAAACTCTGACCGGATCGGATCTGATCGGATGATTGATCCGGACTAATTCTAAAGAAAATCTATCTCGATTCTAAATCTCGAGAGAGAGAGAGAGAGAGAGAGAGAGAGAGAGAAACAGGGGTACCTAATAGAGGGAAGGAAAAAAAACTCAAAAAAAAGGAGCCAGACGTTTGTGAATCAATTCCGGTTCCGTTCACCGGGGATTCGAGCTTGACACTCGGATAAAATTCACGCGAAAGAATGAAAAAAAAAGAAAAAAAAAAAAAACGACGGCAGGCGAGTTTCCGCGGGCGCGGGAAAAATCTTACCTGCGATATAAGTTTCGGCAGTGTGTGCGTGTGCGCATGCGCGTGGCTATTGTGTCCTGTTGAAGACCGTTCGCTGTTGGGCCGTTGTTGCTGCTGTTGGCCGGCATCCGATCTAAGATCGTGCCTCCATCTCAGTACACCCATCATAACCGGCTGCTGTACTCTCGATTGCGTTCAAAAGCCTTCACTCCTGACAGCCGCGTATCCTTTCAACGTCCGCACACTCGGGGGGGGGGGGGGGGGGCGACCAGTTCGATCACGACGCTCCGACCTAACCTAACGCGAGTATCCTGTTGCACCCTTTACGAAAGGCTTCTACGCTGATCGTCGAAACGCTAGACACTTCGACATCGACGCTGTCAGGAATTCGATTCCTCGCGGTTTGGAGCACGGTGTGTAACTCGAAATTCGAGCGGAACGTACGCTGTCGGGAAAAAACGCGGGAAAAGGACTCCAGCGGAAAGGTACGCGATATAATATTCCTCGCGTAATCAGGATTTCCAATGACACCAGATTACACTTTGTCTCGTAATTTTTCAGGTAACTTAGTGGCTCGTACTTCTTGACATTACTCTCGCCTAAGAACCCACTCGATCGTCGTTCGAAGTTTCGTCACTGTCGAAGTCGTTCACTGTCATTTTCACAGTGTGTTTCGATCTCGCGAACGTGCGCACGACCGACAAGACGCACAGGACACCGCATAACGGCGCGTGTCACTTTTTCCTGGCTATCGCCAGGAGCTTTGTGTCTCCGTCGCCCACGTTTCGATCGGTCGACCGAGGTCAGAGTAGAAAGTGTTTACACCGTGTGCGCGTTCGGCAGACAGGATATCTCGTATGGTGCAACACACACGCGCGTACGAAGGAACGCGCAAACGTGCCCAGAACGAACGCGTACCGTATCAGAGTTCAGCGACGTGTAAGTGCAGGAGCGCGACTGGCACAGCAAGACCGTACGGTTCGAGGCTTGCCTCGTCTGTCGTCTCCCCTTCCCCTCCGCCGCTGTCGCCCCTTGCTCCCTCCTCCCCCCACCCTCCTGCGTCCAACACGCTGCTCGCGGCATGAACGTCCTGCTGTTCTTAAAACTCCCACCATATCCTACCTATCGTGCAGTGAACAAACGTTGCCATGGTCGCCATCAAACGCGTAAACTCGGTTTACCACGCCGACCTCCATCGTTTCTCGTTTCTCGAGATTCACGATCGATCGATCGTGCACTCGAATCGCCGTCTTTCGATCAACCGCGTACAAAGAGCGATTTGAAGACGACGCGGTTGCTCGATAAATTCTTAATACGTGTCGACGGTGCATTGAAAATTGAATTACGCGTTGTACTTACACTTGCACTCATTAGTGTTAAAACACGTTGGCTGCCGCGCGAAATTTACACGTTTCGTCTAGGGGATGAAATATTCAATTTCTCTATGATATTCTATTGCGTATGAAGTACAATAATAGTACTTTTCCTATTTTAAACTCTTTGCCAATGACGCATTTTCTTAATTGTTTTCAAACATTTACGAAAATGGAAATACGACCGTCATCAGTGACCATCGTGTTATAATTAACACATTACATATAATGCATCATGTTTACTATCGCTGTTAATATTTGTATTTGTTATTTAAACAAAAATTAACAATTTTACATATATAGTAAAGATTTTCAAATGTATTCCATTATTTTGTCTCAAATTGTAGACCTAACTTACTTTGTTGGTTTATTGGTATAATTAGAACGAGGATCTGTGCGCTGCGATTTCACGTTTTAGATTAGATCCTTTGCAGCTACGTAAGTTTAATCTTGCAGCTTCGAATTTCTCCGTAACGAAAATCGGAAATGTTGTCGAACCGCTCAAAGTTGAAAGTGCATAAAATACTTTAATTAATGTACATTACAGCACTTGATGATCCTATATTAACTTAATGTTTCTGTGCTGTTACGAGAGATAGTTCTAAAGTCAAACTATAGATTCTTGAAAACTTGTTACTGGCTTGTTTCATGTGATAATTAAAACAATTATTCCAGAAGAAACCATAATAACGATTTTATTATTAAAGTATATACTGCGACTCTCTTTTTAAAATTTTCCAATCACAGAGAGCACCGAATTTTTAATTATTGAAAGTGATCATATCATAATCGTTGAACCGTTAATTAAATAATACGATGCACACTTTTTAATGATTGTTATATCATGTAACATAGTTCCACGTATTTATCTATATCTTCCAATCGGGATGAGAAACTATAATTAATTATAAATTTTGTAAAATTGCAAACAATGTATCTACATATATTGGAGATTACAGTTAACAGAAATGTATATATGAACGAGAAATAAGACAGAAGTAATTAACGATTGGTTAATATTTCAGAGTATTTTGTTATTTTCTTGATAATTTTATTACGTTCGCTAATTGCTTGCTTTTCACAGCTTTTAATATTTGATGTGTTCTAATATTTATTCGATATGATTGATTTTTGAATATTCAAGCGAAGTTAAGAAAACACAATGTTTCGAAACATTGATTATTAATTTTCCGCTGCAATTGTGCGTTTATATTTTCGTCAGGATCCCTGAAACAGCCGAATGTAAAATTCCTTCTGCGAGGGAAACATTTTCCCCTCTCAGGACGCTTTTGTTCAATAAACGTCGAGTGTGTAAGTTCAATCTCCTCCCAGTTTTATATTTCCATCGACTTCGATTCGATAAGAAGAACAATAGTAGTTACGTGATACGCGACATCATTACTCCTATGACGTGTTTAAGGGGCGCAAAAACGAAAGGCAAATTATCGTTAATTGACCAATCGATTGATCAATGATACATTTGCCAAGTGTTTGCTCGGTGTTCACGTAATTGAACGAATTGCAAAACAAATCGTGGACAAAGTATAATAATCTACGGCAATCTTACGTCTGAATCCGTACTCGAGCAATAAAAAGTTTAATAACTCCTTATCGAAGCGAAATTGCGCTAGTTCTCAATAATTTTATTCCGCTCTTTCATCCCTGGGAACGTGTAGTTAATCTCAATAGAAACTTTCGTCTCGCAAATTCGATTATTTATGATTTTGACGAGAGGAGAATATTTCATAGCTTGTTAAATGAATAATAATCTAGAAAAGGAAGAGTTTGATAACACAACTACGAAAACTCTCGTTTACGATTCTAAAATAAATCGGTTAAACATACTAACGTGTTACTGTGTCTCACTGTGATATCTATATTATAAATTATGGCAAATTTAATTTACAGTGAACTTGCACCGTTACTCTCCCGTGTTATAAATTACAGAACGTCATCGGAATTAATGACAGTGAGTTAGTCCCTCTGTGTAACTAGCTCACTGAACATTATTTACTCGACCTACTTTAAGGCACGGTATCATGTTGAAAAGTCATTAATATCGAAAATACCATCTCTAAATAAATTGACAATATATCGTAAATAATCTCTTCTATATGGATCGTTTAATCCATTTATGTGAATTTCTTTTAACTTTTAATTTTATGCCCAGAGCTTTATTTCGTTTCATTTTATCAACAATACACGTATACTGAAATTAAAAATACTATAAACCGAAATTAAAAATACTATAATAATCGAAATTCACTCAATAAAAATCAGTTAATGTTCTCTTGAGTTACCAAGCCTTAACATATAAATATATATCTAAAAATTAGTATCATCAAAAGTGGAAGTAAGTAAAGAAAAAAAAAAAAAAGAAAAAATACATCTATTACCAGTCACTTCCACTCGATCGATAATACCAGAGTCAATGACACAAACACGAAGCTCTCCCCCGTTGGCAAAATGAAATACGACAAGAGCGGTACGACTTAAATAATCGAAACCTCAAACGATTCTCAAACGACGACGACGACCGACTCGAAAGGAGCAAACCGCAGTTCAATCCTGCGCCAGAGTCAACTCGTGCGAAACATACTCGCTCCAATTGAAGCAATTTGCAAGCACGGACACGGGGAATTAGTCTCGCACGGCAAAAGGAATGCGATCGCGTGATGAAGTTGCACGCTTCCGTTGACCGGGCCGCGAGGAATCAGAAGGAATACGAATTTTTCGGTATGTAGCACGAAAAGTGAGGCACGAAGTTGACGACAGGTGGTGGGACGGATGACGGAGGAAGTCGAAGGAAGGTGAAACCAAAGAGGAAACAGGCTGCCCGGTGGCGGATGTCATTTCGTGGTCGACTTATTTCGTTACCGGTAGGTAGGCAGATAGTGCCAAGGCTTCCCATTCCTTTGTGTCCACCTCTTTCATTATTTTATCCAACTTCCTGCGTCCGAAAGCGACGCACACAACGTCGAGCGTGTCTCGCTCTTCGCCGTTTTCGTCTGTCTGTAACTTTCGAGGATTTCCTAAATCTAAATCTGAATTAAACGACGCATTGCCAATTGTTTTTTCAGTACTGTCTTCTCTATAATGTTACTGTAGCGTCATTTGATTCCCAAAGTTAGTTATTCGCGGTTAGAGTGATTTTGTTTCTACCTTGTCAACTATAACATACTCTCGATTCAGAGAACAACGGTGTGTGTGGATTGCTTGCAAATTCGTGCTTTTGATTTACGACGATAGAAACGGAGCCTCGGAGGGGAGAGACTTCGAACTCGGTGAAAATTTTATCAAACTGAATGAATCGTCGACATTGCCCGATTTATTCTCTTCCTGGTTCGTTTTGTTTTCACAGAAGCAAGTTGAAATTTAAGATAACTTAAGACTGCCGCGCTCGGTTTAAGTTACTATCGTAGAGAAGCAACGTGTACGAGAATCACTGTGTGGATATTTTATTTCGGCTGTGTGTGTGTGTTTGTGTGTGTTTGTGTATCTGACCAACCGGACGTCTGTACTTTCTCTTTTCGAATCATAAGGTTCTTCGACAACTTTCAAGGTGAGAGAAAAAATTCGTGGTCGACGTTTCCTTCGACGTTCAGAGTATCAGAATTTTTATTCAAATGATACATTCTGTTTCAGTAGATACGAGAAATTGTAATTTAATTAATGCAACCTCACGATGCAGCATACAGTATTGTATAAATAAATCCTTCGTATCAAATTAAGAGGCCATTCCATTGTCGACACAGAAACAATTAAAATTGGGTAACAGGAACGAGCACTGTTAATTATCACGACAATACTCGTTCGCACGTCTCACTTTTACCTTTTACCGATGGAAACTGAACGACCCCGATCAAAAGGTTTTCTCGTGTTCATCATACACCTCAGATCTCTTTGCATTTTCCACCATTTAAATTATAAACACTGACTTTCTTTTCAAAAAGTTTTATAACCTTATAATGATAATCTTATAAATTTTTATTTCGTTTCGCGTATTAAATCCACGTATACAAATACTCCATCACTTCGTGCGTTATATATTAAAATCACTTTTTCATTTTTTATCTCTTCAGAACAGGTTTCATTTTTTATCTTTAAAGAACAGGTGGTAGATTGACTTTTCATTAATATTATAAATCACTTTTAATCGCGTACGCGCGAAAGTTTACTACGATGCTACATCACGTATTACGAACAATTTAATTTAATTTAATTTAGAATGAAGAAAGAACGATTGCACGTGACGTAGTAACGATTTCGTAAAGCGCTCAAAGCGTAACGATGTCAAGTTCGGGGCTGTGTTTTGCGCCAGTTTCGGGGTCGTTCCCACGTAAAAGCAGCGGATACAATAACCTGTTGTGTACCGTGTACGTCGTCAAACTCGAATCTCCGATCTTCACGGATTGCGAGCAGACAGAAATCAGAAAATCTTCTCGGCTATTCGGTTAAAGTCACACCATGACGACCGGTCGTGGCGGTTCAACCGACACTTCCGGCGCGTGTACCTGCACGACCGGAAGTCTGCTCCTCCCCCTTACATCCTGAGGATCACATATGCACCTTGTTTTACCAATAACAACCCGCATTTCGT